TAAATTATACTCTCTCTTTCTTTCTCTTTTCTCTTTAATATACTTTTATCAGCAAAATATAGAAAAATCAAATAACAACGTATATATGACAAGAAATTCACTAATCTTCACTAATCTTCATGTAATTTATGCCGAAAAGTATAACATTCTAGAACTAATTCGCACTGGGCATTATTGTAATTATTGTAAACTAATGTATCAAATATCCATTTAGCTCAATTTTATTTTTTTTTTACTTCCACAAACGCTAATATTTCTAAACGTGTTTTCTCATTTCGGACTGAAACTACAAAACTACTGAAACTACAAAAATACAATTGCGAAAGTCTATTCAGAACGTAATTTTACGATTCGTCCTTCATCCCCGCAATTGAATACTAATCGTAAAGGTACTCTAGAATTATCTAAAATATCACTATCTCGATCGGTAGCAACAATCATTATTCGCAGCGACTTTTGCGGAATCGTTCGTTCGTTCATCGCGAGGGAGAGAAGGTGCCCGAAGGAAGGAACGGCACTTTCGTGAGAAGAGACGAGTCTTCCCGAGCCGGTAAATAAGATGTCTTTACGATGTCTTCATCTTCTTGTATGGTTGCATAATCACCCCAGAGCTGACGGGGATCGCTACCTGCGGCTGCGCCGCTATTGTCGCCGGGTTGCCTATCTGCGGTATCTGCGGTACACCTGCGGCCGCAGCCGCGGCCGCGACGCCTGCCGCTACTCCGGGTACACTGGCTACTGCAGGTAGAACAGCGTATGGATTCTGGACATAGGGATTGGTTTGTACGGTCGCAGCGCCGGGTATCGATGCCTGGACATATGGATTCGGCAAGATCTGCTGCCTGATCAGAGAATATGGATTTATGGGGGTTGCTGTGGGTGGCGGTCTGGTGTACGCCAAGATACCCGCGGACAGCGGTGAGGTCAAGGCACCCGGGATACCGGCCAGACTCGGGATGACAGGTCTGGGAGTCGCCGCGGTGGCTTGCAGATTGGCTGCTGCCACTGCGGGATTCCCGGCGGCCGCCGCGGCGGGATTCATGAGATTTTGTTTATTCAGAGCGACGCCAGTGTAATTAAGTGCGAGTTGACCAATGCCGTACTGCGAGACCTGCGAGAGCTTAAGGGCTTTAGCATAGTTTTTCTGGGCGACCTCTTTGGCGAGAGTCGCTGGATCGAGAGGAGCTGGTAATCCAGAGGCCATTCCAAGACTGTTGAGCATATTTAGGCTCGCCATATTGGAAGCAGCGTTATAATTGCCCATAGAAGTGATATTCGTTATCGATGACATATTTGCCATGGAAGCCATAGAAGCCATCGAGGCCATGTTCACCATGCCAGGCATTGAGGTCAGGCTGGCCATAGAAGTCAATGGACTCATTGCTGGTGATAGCGCCAACTGGTTGATTTGTTGTTGCTGTTGGTGTTGTTGCGGTACCTGCTGTTGCTGTTGTTGCTGCTGCAGAGATGATGGGCTCGAATGATTCAATTCGGGGGAGTTACGCGAATTTTCATCATGATTCTGCGTAGTAATCGGTTGCTTGTTATTGCCGTTACTATTGTTACTGTTATTGTCAGCGGTCGGAGGTGGCGGCGGCGGATTGTTGGGATCCATCAGCACGCCATTGTTGGCGTCAGCGCAGTTATTGACTGTTGCGCCAGCGGCTCCCTGGGAGGAGGAGGATTGCACCACTATCGCGTGGTGGTTGCTTTGCACGTTCGGGGGTTGCACGACCGATTGGTTAGAGGTTTGAGTGGGTAGGGGTGGTGTTCCAGTGTACTCACATGACACAGGCACGAAGGGCTGCTGCAGCTGCATTAACTGTTGATAGGTCGTCGCACCGGTAGGCTGATAGACCGGCACGCCGGACTTGTCGGCCGCCGGTCGTTTATAAGGAACCATCCCTGGGAAGGCCTGCAAAAAGAATTGCAAAGAGATTCATGATTAGAATGAGTTTATGACGCGAGCAACGTGGCCATTCGAGCGGAAGCTTCCTTCATGAAAGCCTCGACTCCGTTTCGGCCGAAGATACGATATATTGTTCTCTTTTGCGTGCTCATGAGTTTTCTTGATCCAGCTGTGCAGGGGACGTCGGGTTTGACATTTTCCACGACGAGGCGGTCAAAAGACTAACCTCTTTCGTCCAACACAATCAAATTCAACCGTAATTTGTAATAAATTTGTAATAAATTTTAAAATGAATTGATATCGATGTATTGTTACAATGATTCTTTGTCTTCTTTGCAAAACAGCAATTAGTCGCATGTACCACAGCCGGAAGAAATCATATCTACCTTTCAACGATATCATCACTGTTTTAGAAAGAAACGATCGCTGCTATCTCGTTAAATCGATAATGCTCCATTTTAAGATGCTTGCAAATTTAATGATAATTCAAAAAGAATTTTGTCAGTAGAATTTTTGTGTACTTGCTGTAAAAAATAAATATCTCCTGGATGGAGAGATGAATATTAATCGCGAGTATAAATGGAATGATACGCACAAAGAAATGGATCATATGAATTATGATTCAATGTTTAGGTTCTGCACTTACAAAGTTCTCGTAGTAGAACGACCCGACAGACTTCATGTCCATCTGCAACAAAGACAGGATCGGTTTCAACTAATTTCGAGGACGAGGCGCGTTGCGTCTGTATAATTGGATTTTCGAGACAGGAAACGAGAGAGGGTCGTGTCTCAAAGAAATGGGGGAGGGTAGACGGTGGCGCGGTAGAGAAGGGTGTTGGACTGTAGTAGTGTGTAAAAGTTGTGCCGATGACGCAGCTTGCGGCGACGTTCCCAAACGACGACGTTTCGTTGTTGGATAACTGCAAAATGTTTCGTTCGTTCTTTCTTTCTTTCTTTCTTTTATACTTTTCCTCTGTTTCTACTATTGGGAGCGTGTCAGAAAAACCAGCCATTGTTAGTATCGAGGACCGTTGCGCGGCTCGATTAAAGAGAGACCGTCGCCTTATATTAATAAACGATCAAAATACCGATCGGAAAACTGCACTGTCGCCTTCCTATTAAGAATATTGCGAGAGCGAAGAAGCAGGAATCGCGCAGTAACAAAGTTGTCGATGCTAATGTCCGATCTGAAAGCTTTTCGTTCATTTTCACGAGATAAATGTGAAGACAAATGAATCCTCCTTTCGAGCAAAACGGAGAGACTGAAGAGAAAGATATAAAGAGAAAGATAGAGAAAAAGAGAAAAAGAAAGAGCAAGATCGACAAGAGAGATATTAATATAAAAGGCGCAGTTGGGCTTGGCTCGGAGAACAAAAGGCTTCGCGATACCGACGTGATGCGAAAGTTGCACAACACGGATTCACGAAAGCTGATATAGGCTTGCGGTGATACTTGGTGAGCGAGCACTTTGGTAAGTCACCTGCGCGAAACAGACGCGTGCGCAACAAAGAGGGGAAAGCCAAATCAAAATCTCTATCGAGGTGTAAAACACGTTCGAGTTAGAAGCTGCGGTAGACGAGATGCAAAAGCTCAGAAGCTGACTTATAGTAAAGTGGCCGGGGTGAAATATATTGTCACAGCGGCACAGATACATACATATATGTATATGCGTGTTAACACGTGTTCCCGCGGTTTGCTCACCAACGAAACACTCGGAGTCGTAACGACGCACGGATATAATTTTTAAAAACCGCGACTTTGCGTGTGAACGACTCCGCACTCGCCTTATGCGATCGCTGTATGCGTTCACGACTAACGCAACTAAATAAATTCGTAATTGCGAACGTCGCCAGTAAGCGTGTGCGCGAAAGCGAGTCACACTGCGTTTTTCTTTGCTTAAGAATGTGCAACCAGCTATCACGCAACAGGCAACGTGCCTTTCAATTCTTTATCATTCGTATCGAATGTTACTGTCTACTAAGCCTGTCGAAAATATATAGCATTGTAGCAAAAGTTTTCACTGAATTTTTTGTTTCTTCGTATTAAATACTGTAAAAACGAAAGTTCTTTAGAATTAATGCGCTTTAAAATTAATATGTTTTACAAAGTAAAATATAGCATTACTTTTTTTAATAAATTTAGAGCCGACTAAGCGCTAATCAAAATTTGATATAATTTTTGACATAAAAATTGAGTATTTCTATCCAATTATAACATATATAACATATATAACATATATAACTCAAGTGATAAAAACATTCATTTAAAGTTTGCTAAAAAAAATATTTCGTTATCTTTTTGTATTACAGAAAACTTTCGGCTTCAAATTCATCAAAGATCCATATCTTATAATACATCTTGTATGCATACAGCGAAAATGCATTCGCATTTGGCTGTCTCAGTGTTATCGCATTTCAAAATTTTTGTTTTGAAATATTGATACATTTCTGCAACAAGAGTTTGCATTCTTATGAATTTATATGGATTCTATATAGGCACTTCTTCTTTCTCTTCGCGTATTGAAAACTCGCGTACCGAAAATACCGAGAAGTTATGCGCGCTTTCTGAAGGAAGCCTCTATTTGTACAGCGAAAATCCATTTTCGTCCTGGCGCACAGAGTTAGAAAGTTGCACATGGATAAAATTACGTTTCAAACCCGAACAAATCTGTCGATCGCGC